AGCTGCGGATGTGGCCTAGACATCGCAGTCGTGGCCCAGCCGCTGGCGTGGCGTAGACATCGAGGCAGTGGCCGCGCGTAAACAAAAAAAAAAACAAAAAACAAAAAAAACCGCCTTAACGAAACCGCCACCCTGACACCACTGTCGGCCTCAGATACAACCGCCTTTTCGACCTCAGGCCATGACAAAGTTGCCTATGCCTGTTTTTTCTGCCTTTGCGAACTCGAAATACGCCGCGTTTTGCATTTTGTTTAAAAATTGTCAAAACTTTGCTCACAAAAGTTATTGCACAATTTGTGGATGGCGCTGTGTCACCAGCCAAGTACCAAATCTCAATTGTGTCCCTGGGCGAGCCCCGCGGCTACCACGAACACAGGCTGGTTGTGCTCGTCTGTACAGCAGGGCACCGAGCTTGCGTCGACCAATGGAAAGTCAAATCCCCATTTCTCCAGATGGCCGCGACCTTGTCCAATCTGAAAAGGTACAGCAGTGTGAATATACACATTTTGCGGATTTGGGATCGCAGTGTGAGTATGCTCTGAGAGTGTCTTCTTGTGTCAAGTGAGCCGCTTCCCGCTCAAATGATGACAATGGAGACCTTGGGCCTCGCTACAGTACGCTCCACACGCACAACAGAAAAAGTTTCATGTTCTAGTGGAAGATTCATTCTCATTTTGCACATTTGCAGAGCAGAGCAGCGAGGCCCCTTGTCTATAGCGACGTGCTCTCGGAATTCGGAGCAAAGGGCCTCACTCCACTACTCACCGAATGTGCAAAATGAGAATGAGGGCCTACTCAAACGGAACGCAAATATCACAAAAGAATGTTACATTTGATACGGCTTTTGTGATATTTGCGTTAGCTAGTGGTCACACCTAACCGCCTGTGCCATATGGGACACAACCACAACTTTCTGCGTGTCAGAATTTGCGTTATTGTGCAAGTCACACACGAAGAGGGATTGTTTTTTGTTTTTTTTTTCGACTTCTTTTTTCCGTAAACTCTTGGAAAAGCAAAAATGCATTTGTGCTCACCTCTTGAGGTGGACGCAAATAGCATACCCCCGCGGCCAGGCAGGCTGGAGGATTTGTGTACTTATTTGTGGCATTACCGTACCTGCTCGGGCTGTGTGACCCCGTACTATCACAGAATCTGCCATTTTTGTGAATTTTGCTACCAGTACGAGTATGCCCTGAAACTTCCTCTACAACATGGGAAGACACACCTGCATACATTTTGTCTTTTGTGCAGGTGGTGAGTAGTGGAGCAAGGCCCAAAGTCGGCCGCCTCCCCGAGGTCTCCGAATTCGCCTGCCTGCAAGAGAAGAATTCAGGAGTGCTCTTGGAAACACCTTCCTGACAGCTCCCGAGTTTTCTCTGACAGGCGGGATTGTAGAGCTGGTGTGGCCATGACTTTGCTCCGCCCATTTTGGGAATGGTGTGGCGAGACCCTTAGTTTTGGATTTGTGCCACAGACAGGCCACCAAAAAAGAAAAAGCCAGCCCTTATCTGTAGCCTTTAGATAACTGGGCTGCCCCAGGAGATCTGCTATGTCTTTTTTTTTTTCTTTTTTTTTTCAAAACCCACTTGAAAGGCCTCTATCCCAGCGGTGGTAAGAGAACGGCCAGGATTGAAGCTTTGGGTGTTGGGCTGCTCCATCTATTGGTGGGGAGCGGTGTCGGGGCAGAAACCTTGACAACGGTATCTGAAACGTGGAACGATGTCCGACCTACTAAAGGGTTATCCAAGCTTCATAACTTGATGAGATGGGTTATCTGTCGAAAGTTTATTCACACCTGACCTATGACCAAGAGACTAAAACTTTTTTGAACCTAAGACCTGATGCCTGCGGCATCTGGAAGTGGCAACAAGAACCATCGGCGTGAACGGTCTCTCCCCATGTTTAGTAAGGCCACACGGATGTACGGTGGGAGGACAACATATATATAGTTTCATACCTATTCTACCTAAAATAAGGATGTGCGGTTTAGCAGCCGCGCGATTCAGAGCCTAACCGGTCTAAAACGAATGGACACGCTGTGACGAACCATTTTTCGAAACCGCGCGATTTTCTGCACGAAGCTGCTTGGGGAAATATGACGGGTCGAAAGGGTGAGCTGTGGAAAGACGGGTTGGGCGAGCTAATTGCATGGATGTCCTCGTTTCTTTTTCGTTTTCTGCTGAGAATGTCGGATCAGTGTCGGGAAGATCCCATGCCAATGGT